TAGTTTTTTAGTTTCCCCTTATGTACTAATTTTCCTTTACATCACTCTGTCTGAGATACCTTTTTCTTTGATTTTCTAGCAACTTATCTTAGTTTTCCCTTTGGCAGGATTAGAAGCTAGGTTCCATTTCAGAAAAGCAGGTAAAACAGCATTTTTTTTTTGTTCGATTAGAGAAGCCATAATTAATGAATGAGAAAGTGTAGTATTTATTAGAAGCTATAATTAATGTGCATATAACTCTGTTGTTTCACCAGTGTGTAACACTTTTGTTAGTAAGATATGTGTTTGCTTTGGAGTACTTGCAGTGGCTGTTGCATTTATTTCGATACACACATCATTTTATTTATCCGCTTAAGGTTGTACTAATGGAAATGCCTCGTGCAGGAATTAGTAGCTGGGGTTTGAGCCGTTGAATTAATAGGTCAGTTGTAAATAGCTGGGGTTTTATTTATGTGCTGTAATTTGTGTTTATTTTTCACTTAATATCCTATAATAGGCCGTTGAATTGTGTATTGCTTGTTATTGTCCAGATTGCAACGGATTGAATTTTTTTTTAATAATAATGATGTGCAGGGAAAGATGGTTCCTCCAATGAAGTTGATGATTGGAGAGGAAGATAAGTTCCAAGGAAAAGCATTGGCCCTATCGCATACAAAGAGTGCAATTAGTACGATAAAGGAGAAATTCAGTGAGCAACAGCTACGAACCTTCGAAGAGAGTTGTTTTGGTCACCTCCTACTAATTAAGGACTTGAAGTGGACGTCGCCAATTGTACACAGATTGTTGCTGAGGAAGGCTGATCCAAAGACTGTTTCCCAAGTGAATGGGATCAAATTAATCGTTGGCAACAAGGTGATCCAATTCACACCGCAGCAATTTTGCGTCGTCACAGGGCTAAGGTTTGGAAACCTTCCCTTTATTCCGATTCCCAGTAATGGGAACTGCTCATTGAAAAGGAAGTACTTTGGCAACAATAAAACAGTCAGCCTTTTGGAATTAGAAAAAACCTTCCGCGACTGCGCTGATGCGGACGATGTATTGAAGCTCGGATTCGTATACTTTGTTGTTTTTGTGTTGTTGGGCAGTGAAAAATATGTTCACATTGACATGCTGTATTTGAAGTTGGCGGAAGACCTTGAAGAGTTTGGGAAATATCCATGGGGTGCTGTGTGTTATGCCAAGACAAATGCGTCACTTCTGAGGGCACTTTGTGCAGATTACCAGGGAGTGAAAGTGTCCAAAAAAGCTGCGAAAACAAAAAAATCTGAAAAGAAAGTAAAGACAACGGCAACTGATAGACCAAGAGAGTATCACCTCAAGGGTTTTGCCTTTGCACTTCAGGTGAGCAATTTTCCATTCCTGTTGAAGTTAAATATCATTTTTTTTACAATAATGGGTTCTAAAACAGTAATGGAGGAGAGAGAGAGAGAGAGAGAGAGAGAGAGAGAGAAATTGAGAGCTGGAAAGAAGAGCTAAAACAGTAATGGGTTCATGTTTATTTTCTGTAATTATTACTTTTTGGGGGATGTTGGTAAGCAAGCAAACAACGAGCAGACATGGCAGATAAATCCACGGGCGATGCCCATCCTACTGAATTCTCAAGAGCTGTCGTTCGACCTGCTGGAGCTTGGTGTTAAAAGCAGGGATTCTAGTCTGAGTCGGCAACATTTCCTGCATTGCTAATGTAACTAGCGATATAGTAATCTCCTTTACAGCTATTAATATTTTCTAGGTAGGGTACTGAAAAAGCATCCTAATTTTACGTAGGTGACCAATGAACCTTACTGCCTATGGAGGTGTACCGTTCGGCTCCTGTAAGGGAGCCTCACTACCGTTCCGTTTACTCTTCACATTAGGAAGTTGTAGTTACCGTTCCTATCTTTTCTCTAAACCGGGGGAGACCCACTTCCCCCGGACCCCCTTATTAGTAGGGACACGCCTACGTACGCGCAAATACATGCATACGCGCACATGCGCGCGAGGAATAGGGACACGCCCACGTGCGTGTGCGTGCGCTTCGGATTGTCTATTACTCATATTACATATTCGTAATAGCCTATTACTAGATTAAAAATCACAGAAACCGCAAGGCCCCCCCTTGTGGGGTAAGAGCGGGGCTACCAACCCCCGCTCGATTCGGTTTGGGGGGTCCTAGCTGAACGAGTGTAAAGTACCTCGAAACGGAGTTCATCCACTGTTATTGTTTTTTTACAGATTCTTTTGACTAATGATATTGTGTTTGTGTGTGTGTGTTGGTAGATATTTTTTGTGAGAGAGAGAGAGAGAGAGAGAGAGAGAGAGAGAGAGCAAATTGGGTGGCTGTTCTGGGCGGCTGTGGTATTTAAAAAAAGAAATCTAAAAAGAAATAAAATAATTGATTAGTTAAAAAATTGATGGGAAAAGGGAGAAAATGATGGTCAGGGGTAGAGGGGAATTTAAGAATAGAAAATGAACAGAAGGTTTTATTTTATTTAATTAGTAATATTATTCTTTTTTGGCTGAATATTATATCATTAATATTCATGATTAGCCCCGTGTATTTCTATCAACAACCCTAAGTTAACACTAATTACCTCATTATAGAAATAAGTTGTTAGAAAAACAAGTTTAAATTTTCACCCCTTTATGTAGGGGGGATATTGGATATTAGGAAATCAATTTTTTCCTGATTTGTGTTGAATGCTCTTAGACTAATGACTAATGTGGCCCGAACCACTTTTAGCCTCTATGCATCTCTAGATGCCTGTATTTCTTTTAACTTTTGTCAATCATAGGGCAAGGTTTAGACCGCAATTAAAACATGCTAATTATTTCTCTTTATTGTATGCTTGGCTTTTCATGCCCTATTTAAGCTTATAGCATGTGATCTCTAAGGCTTTTCTTCCTCAAACCAGATTTGGGCTTATGAGGTATTTCCAGCGTTGGCTGCACTACATTTGGTGGTGCACGAACATAATGCCTACATCCCTCGTATACTACATTGGAGGAGCAACACTTTGCCGCGTTTTTATGAGCTAATGAGCCAAGTCTTCGAGAACTGTGAGGTTAGTTCAGTTTGTAATGATAATCTTAGGCATATGAAAATATAATATAATAAGTTTACTGATATGTCTATTGTCTGCGAAAATTGCAGGTTGATGTGCAACTTATCCGGCCATCTGTAATTGACAAGCAGCAGCCATATTGGACTTGGGGTGACAGTGTTGACAACACTGAAGAACTTGTTGA